TGTTTGGATACACACCAAAAATTAACAGTGTAAATATTTTATACATCGTACATATTTCATGATCGCTAAAAGTACTTCCTGGTTTTCTACCTAGAGACACATGAAGGTATGAAGAGAAGTTAGGTAATAGGAGATAACATCTTTGTGATTAAGAAGAACTGAACATTTTAATTGTATGTTTACAAATTCAATGATTGCGTTGTATGGTAATGTTGCTTTGGTAACAAGACAGAACCCCAAGATCAGACTAAATACAGGAAACTATCCCGGTACAATGCACCACAAACATCAACGACCATAAAGTTGATTGGTGCCTCAAACAAAGGTTTTATTTTAATCTTCATCATGTGTTATGCTGTCAGCGCCGTCAGGCTGCACTGAGACACATGGTGCCATGAGCTCGATGCTTATGTTAGGATGCTAACATGCTCACATCATGTCGTCCATCTTTGCATAGGGCCTGTGGCTAACGTGCTGAGGTTCAGGTGTAATGTTTATCTCGGGATCTTAGTTAAGTTGCAGCTGAGGATGATGGGAATGTTTTCAGTTATTTAAAGACCACACAAATTTGGTCCTGATGGTGGCGCTAGATGAACATTTTGTATCCTCAGGGCGACCTTGAACACAGTAATCTGTCCAGCAACTGTTGCGACATCTGAATCGAAACCACTTAGGTCAACCTCATGGTGGCGCTAGAGGAAAAGATCATCAATGTCATGAGGGTAATTTTGTCTGAGAAGCTTGAACGTGTGTAAACACTCCACCAGCAGCTCCACCAGTTGTTGAATATCTCTGGACTAAAAGTGGTGAAACAACTGAATTGAGCCCAAACAACATGATGCATGAGCATTTTAAACTAGTAATTCTACCTTAAATATATCAGGACTGCTTCCTAAGTAGTAATTTAAGTGTGTAAATTATTTCTGATATATATACAAAATATTCACACTGTACTTGTTGGCTGTAACATTAAGATATACCACTAACGCAGCAGTGTTGATGAAGCCTCAGAAGCAGGAACGATAGATTTACAGTCAACAGAGACGCATAATTACTGTTGTCACCTTTGTCCCCCTGATCTGAAAACTGAAACTGTAATCAGTAGACACTGATACCTCTGACCAAGGTGTGTGTGTGTGTGTGTGTGTGTGTGTGTGTGTGTGTGTGTGTGTGTGTGTGTATGTGTGTGCATGTGTGCCCTCTTAACCTCTGTGTTCTTCTACTGTAACCAGGTCAAGTAAAGCAGGAGGCAGGCTCTGTGTCACACTGCTCATGTGGTTTTGTACACGTGTGTGTGTACACCATGTGTGTATCCGCGCTTTGCATCGCGATCTGCCCTCAGGTGGTTGTCATGGCAATTCTAACGACTGATCAGGAATATTGATCCGTGATCGAATTCCCAGAGTGCGTGTGTGTGAGAATGGCGTGGAATGAAAGACTTCCTCTTATACAGCATTATGTTATGTGATGGTCACCATGGAAACACACCCGAGGGGCGCCTACCACACACTGGTAATATTGTTTGGCCTAGATATCCATCCTCAACCAATAACACAGGGAACGTACGTCTGTGCGTGTGCATTTCAGTGACTAATGTAAATCAGCATATGAACACACCACAGTGACAGAGCCGCAGTGAAAAATGTATGAAATGATCCTGTGGAGCAGAAAGAGTCTTGCACGAGTTACACGAGACAGTAAGTGTGAGAGGGATGAGACGAGGGGAAGCAGAGTGAGAGCGAATGGGAGTGGAAACACACATCCAGGGAGAACCAATAACAACCTATTACTACCAATTCACACACACACACACACAAACACAGGTTTCCTGCAACCATCATCGGTTTTCTTCAGTGAGAGAGGTGTGTGTGTGCGTGTGTTTGTGTGTGTGTGTGTGTGTGTGTGTGTGTGTGTGTGTGTGTGTGTGTG